GGTGGCCTGAAGGGCTGTGGGCAACATGGCGGCGCTGGCGGGTGAGCGCAGAGGCGGGGCCCGCGGCCTCCCTCGGCCCGGCCAGGGCTCGCTGTGGCCGGGGAGGAGGCCCTGCCCGCCTCGCCTCCACGGGAGCCCCCAGACCCACCCCCCGCAACCCTAGGCCTGCCTCCAGCCCGGGGGGGGACTCCCTTGTGGCCTGGGGAAAGGGCCTCAGGGCCCGTAGGAGAGGCTGAGCTATCCCTGGGACTCCCTTATTGCCTGGGGTTGCCGGTGCTGGGATCCCGGTTGTGTTGCAGCTAAGTTGTCCCCTGGTTTTCATTCGCAGCTCCCCGCATGGCCCGGGCTGGGATAGTTCTTCTGCGGTAAGTGGCTGCTGAGCTGCCCCGGAGAGGGGAGGAGATGGGCACGGTGGGTTAGTGCGGCCGAGTGTCTGCGGGCCCCTTCGTGGATTTGTCAAATGGAAGTATTTGAGGAAAAATGCATTCCTCTTCCAGCACAGAGGTGAACGTGGTGTTCACCTCTGTGCTGGACATGTTGGCACAGATTTAGCAGCAGACGTGAGGGAGACGGCAACAGTTTGTGGGGTTGGTTTTGTGGTAGGGTTGCAGGATTAGGGGGTGGGGAGTCTTGTTTCTGCTACTGATTTTGCTGCAAGCAGTTGGTCTGTTCCTCCTGTGTGCTAATCTGGACGGTGAGGGGGTTATGCCGCAGCAAAGCACTGAGATCCTGGAGTGGCCAGGACAGTGTAAGCACCGAGGTGTTGCTGCCACACTGTGACTCGGCCGTATTCATTTCAACAGGCCCGGTGCCGTGACAGCTGCCCACGCTCAGTTGCTCCATCAGATGCCGGCGACTGATCACACTGACAGGTAACGCCAGTGCGTCAAGCCAAGCGTTGGCTGTCCCTCAGGTGGGAGATCCCAAATGAGACGGGAGAAGGCTGTTGTCTTCACTGCAGCTCTGTCTTCGCTGATGAGGGCAGCCCTGTTTCTCCTGCTTCCCTCTAATAGCAGCGTGAAATGCCCAGCTACTGGAAATCTATGAGATGTGCCAGCCTAGCACCCTCAGGATGTAGGGGTGCCAGCAAACAAAGATCCCCTGCCTGAGCAGTGGGGCTTTCCTTGCGGATTCGGGTCATCCCTGCTGGGGTTTGCATGTCCCCAGGGCTGAGACTCCTCCACCAGTGACCCTGTTGCTGACTGTGTTGCACACTGATGATGCCATGACCGCTGTTTGTCACCAGCCCCACCCAGGTCCAGCCCAAGAGCTCAGCCGTCGTCCAGAAAAAGCCCTGGGTCCCGACCACCAGGGGAGAGTACGTTGTTGCCAGGCTCGATGACCTGATCAACTGGGGACGAAGGGTGAGTCGTTGGGAGCACCCTGGACTCTGGACCTAGTGATGACTGCCCCAAAGGAATGGCAACAGTGAGCTGATGAGCTGGAAAGGGCAGGTTTTCTAGCTACAGGCTGGCTTGGCTATTCCATCTTATTGAGAGCAGCCAGGAAATTCAGCCTGTTCCACTGCATGTAGTGCTCTTAAGATGACACCTCATTTGAAGCCCTGCCTAGTCCGGAGAGGAGTAATTCTTTGACTTGAGCAAAGATTTCTGTCTCCATCACCTGACATCCTTGTGTAGTTTATTATGTGCCAGTGGCTGCCTTTCCACCCCAGAAGCGGCTGCATTTCCATAGCACTCCTTGAAGGTAGAATGTGAGGAAGTCCATGCCCAGGACCTGCTTTGTGTGCACATGCATCTACCTCGTATTAAGACCAGAAGCTTCTCAAATCAGAGGCATTGCCTCTTGCTCATTCAGGTGTAGCACTGCAGGCAGAACGCACCATGTCAGCCTTTTATCTCCCCTTACAATACTCCCTAAGTGGGTTGCACTGTTGCTCCTGTAGGTTTGATGCTGCGGACCCTTCCCCCACTGCAAGCATTGCTGACTTGCTTCGTTCTCTTCTGTCCCAGAGCTCTTTGTGGCCAATGACCTTTGGCCTGGCCTGCTGTGCAGTGGAGATGATGCATGTAGCTGCTCCCCGTTACGACATGGACCGCTTTGGAGTGGTGTTTCGGGCCAGCCCTCGGCAAGCTGACGTCATGATTGTGGCCGGCACCCTGACGAACAAAATGGCTCCTGCTCTAAGGAAGGTGGGGGCTCTGTTGCCACTGTCAAGCGCAGCTCTAGGGACTAGAAGTGAAGGGCAGTCACTCTGAAATCTCTCTCCTCCAGGTGTATGACCAGATGCCCGAGCCACGCTACGTGATCTCCATGGGAAGGTTAGTGCTGGAGCTCCCTTTCCTCAGGCTTCGCTGGGAAAAAAGCTGCCTGTCTTAAAGAGCCCGTTGGTTGTTCCTGCTTCCAGGGTTTTGCACTGCGCTCTGTCCTCAGGGTGAATGAAAATGGGGATCAAATGCTCCTTCCCTGGGGAACGAGGGGAGTCTATAATTGCAGGCAGCAGAGATTCTTTCTGGAAGGGAAGGGGGAGCCTGTGCTCTGAAAGCGCTTGGTCAGTGTGACAAACAATGAAACTGCAAGCTATCTCCACCTGCTTCCGAATGTCCGGGCTTGAGCAGCAGAGCTGCTTGGTTACTCGCTTTGGCAAAGAAACTAGATGTAGTTGAAATCAGGGCTGTGTGTGTGCGCACGCTTGCCTGTGCATTCAGATCCGTGGCGGCAAGGTTGATCGCAGAGCTAAGCCATCTGTAACATGCTTATTGCTCCAGGGCATTTGGTTTTACCTGCTGCTTGGCTCTGTTCATCTTGGCCGCATGGGTAGAGTTTTACCTGGCTGCCTGTTTGACGCCAGCCTGGCATTCTGCACCTGAATACCGAAACATTTGTCCCCTTTAGCTGTGCCAATGGCGGTGGTTACTACCATTACTCCTATTCTGTCGTGAGGGGTTGTGACCGCATCGTCCCAGTGGACATCTACGTTCCAGGTAACCATCTGTTCTCAGCTCTGCTGTTAGTGTGGGTCGTGGTTCCAAAAGAGGTGGGCTGGAGCTGATAATGTGTTTCTAACCTCTGTGCTGTCTGGAGCTAGTTCAGGCCTTTTCATTGCAATTGAAGCTGCGTTGTTTAAGTTTTGAGACTGTCCTTGTGTTCTGTGTAAGGAACTGAAATGTGAGGCCCTTGTTTCGTAGTTAGTAGGGTCAGAAGGGACCTGAGCAGATCATCAAGTCCAACCCC